TGACAGCGGTACACATGATAAAATAATAAAAAATAATTTCATTCATAGAAAATTACCAAAATACTTTTAAAAAATTTTGGGTCATTTATTGTATAAGATATATTTTTATTTTTATTTTTGCTAGGTGCACCCCAATAAGAACATGGGATGCCCCACATTTCATTGAAAAAAGTTTTATAAAAAAAATTAAAAATCAAAAAATATTTTGGTGCAACATTATAACATGACAATACTAGCGACCCATTCAGATCTTACGGTTGAGAAGTGGGGTCACATATAATTTATACGAGTGGAGTCACACGTAAAGCTTTCCCTTAAAATATTTATCTCTACTTTAGAATCACATCAGTTTTCCTAAGCCTGAAGGAATTCAAATCTCATAATAACAGTTAACCCTTTTTAGGAAGCATGATAATCACATTAATTTTTTTTCTCCTAAAACCATTACTTTTTCGTTTGAGAATAGTTCATGGCATCCGTGATTGGTTTCCTATTTCGTTTGAGAATAGTTCACCTAAGAATTTCTTGAAATAGTACTCCACAAACTTTAGGGTCGATGACAACCACAAAATTCGTATCCCTTTATGGAGAGAATGAATTCCCTCAAATTGTTTTCTCTTTGAAAAATGTTTCACTTTCTTTTCTCTTGAATGTCAACGTAGACACCTAATATTGAACTCTTATATGATGATGCGAATCCCTTTTGTTCTTCAAACTGTTGAGGCGTTTTTAAATGGTTTTGTTTTATTGATATTTTGGAGCCCTCTCAAGCACCAAACAATCCTATACTACCTTCTAATTGTCATTAACTAGGCATCAATGTGGACGAGACGATTGTGGTGTTGTTTAGCAGTGTTTAAAAGATAGGACACCATTTAATTTTGGTACAAGAAAGCCACAATCACTTTTTTCTGTCGGGTTTCAAGATGTTTATGAGTGTGGCATTTGACTAGTTTCAAAATTTAAACAAAAAGTTTTCGAACTTTGTGAAACAACTCAAGTTATTCAACTTGAAATAAGATGGCTTGAGGTATTTGTAACAAAGGTAAATGGTTTCATAGCATACAGTCCCTTCAAAGATCGGATTTATGCTTCAACTAGCCCAAGTCTAACTTAGTGAGTCTAAGTTGAACCGAGCAATTCTAAATGAGATCTGAAATATTTTGAAAAAAATTGGGAAACTCACGTTATTCTAGGGTTTCTCCACCCAGACTACCTAGCTCCCAATCCGAGCCAACTCAAGTGAGACCCGAGTCACCCCGACCAATTTCTAAATATTGTTTCTAAGTTTGCTAGGATGGTTTAGGCTCAATATCCTTCCCAAGTCATGGGCACCCCCCTTGTCTATGACCCCATGATGTTGATCCATTGTGCCAACATCTAACCCTAGCATATATGGTATGCCAAGATCATTTGTGGGTTCATTTATCACCCAAAAAAAATGAAAAAGAATTATGGAGGGTTTTAGAAGAGGAAAAAGTTTATATAGAGCTGAGAATATCAACAATTAAATTAGAGCCCACCTCAAAAATTTCAATGGAAGAGATTGTTTCAATGCTCAAATATCTTCAAATTGATTATCTCGACATCAAGATGCAGGAACATAAGAAAAAAATGGATTTCAAGTTTTGGAAATATTGCATCTTGTAATACATTTTTGAATAGACAATTTTCAAATTTTCATAGATCTATTCGATCTACACTATTTTGAAGCTTGAGATTTTATAAATAAAAATAAATATATATTTTAAGGCTATCACAGAGATTTTCAATATTGAAACCACATTTCTCAACACTATTTGAAGGTGCACTTTACTTCGATTGTTCGGAGCGTCGAGCTTTATACAAACCGTACCTTTTAGAAAATGTTCACACGTGGTGTTCTATATCATAAGGAAATGTAACTTCCTATAGTTTCAACTTCTATACGTGACCTGAAAGGCTAATAAAACCTCTCTTATGCCATTTTAAAAAGAGAAAAGTTTATATAGAGTCGAGGCTCTAAACAATTCTCGAAAATTTCACTAGAAGCGGTTGCTTTGATGCTCAAATATCTTCAAATTGACCATCTTGACATCAAGATGCATTGATATGAGAAAAAAATGGATTTCAAGTTTTGAAAATAGTATATTTTGTAACACATTTTTTTACCGTCAATTTTCAAGATTTTCAAGCTTTCATAGATCTGTCGATCTACAATATTTTTGAAGCTTTAAACTTTATAAACAAAGATGAAAATATATTTTAAGGCTATCACAAAGATTTCCAGTATTGAAATCACATTTCTCCACACTATTTGAAGGTAGGCTCTAATGTGATTGTTTAGAGCCTAGGCTCTATACAAACCGCACCCATTCAAAAATGAAGTGTCAACAATTATGCCTCAGGACATATGAGAGATGCTTGATGTAACATCTACGGTCCACGTAGCACTTGTTATTTCTAGCCACAATTGGTATGTGGGAAATGGACATCAAAGACAAGAGCAATGAAAATGATGCTTCATAGCTTAGTTGTCATTATCTCTCACAAAAGGCACAAAATTCTCCACCGTGTGTGATTCAGTCCCCTCTTATGAGAAGAAAAAACAAAAAGGTGTTCAAAATTTCACAAAGAGCTCAAGGATGCTTTTGTTCATTTCTTCCCGTTTTGGAAATTGCAAGGATATTTTAATGAGAACCATAGGATGCAAACAAGAAACATGTCTTTTTACATTCAAAATGCTTTGGCCATTCTTGCTACCAAGAGACACAAACCCCAATTCCCAACAACCAAGAAGCAAATGCCCTTAATATTCCTTCCACAGGTTTTCTATGAAGCCTATTTGTTTTCTGGTGAAGTGCCTAGCATGTGGCTTAGTGGTCCATTTAATATAGTTTTTTGGCAAATCTTTGACTTAGGCTGCATTTGATAACTTTCTCTATAATTTCTTTTTTTTTTGGCAAATCTGTGACTTAGGCTGCATTTGATAACTTTCTCTAGAAAAAGTCTGTTACTAATTTTCTTGGATTCTGGGAGACAAGTGAAAATTAGTAGCCTCAAAGTCGAGAACCTTAACCTTGTTTCAAAAACTACCGTACTGGTATCTTAACCTATTTGGTATTGGGAAAGCTAAAAACAGCCTGTCTTAACCATTCATTATGTATTAAATTGATTTGATATAAAATCCATAATTAGAATAAGATTTTCTTGCTACAACTCATCTAAAACATTTCTTATAAAATGCACGGTTGATATTAAGATTTGTTCTTATATCTATCTAACTTAAGAGAGGAATACCATTATAAATTCTAAATGCACACTATTGCATTTCAAAAGATTTTTGCATTCGTTTTTTATTCTCCAAAACAAAGTAGGCTGCAAGTAAATATCACAGTGGAAATTCCAATAAATAAAGATTTCAGACACAACTTTGACAAGAGAAGGTGTAATTTTCAATTTCTCTGCATTGCAAATCACATCTAAACAAATCATAACCATTCTAACAAAAGATATATACATAGAGAGAACAACTTTTACAGAATTAAAAGAAAAAAAAAAAGATTACAGAACCAAGAAACGAAAACCCAAATTAACGCAACAGCACGTCTTTGACAACCTACGACATAATCGAGAAGATTCCATATCATTAACACAAATACGAGCAATACCATGTCATTAACACAAACACACATATTATACTTCATAGCCCATATAAACAAACTACTTTCACTCTCTAGAAGCCCCTAAAAAAAGATAGTAGAAGCTACTCTCACTAGAAATTGCCAACAGAACTAGAAATTGCCAATAAAGAAAATAGTTTTCGTCAGAACTCTTAAAACATGAAAAAATTCTCTCATGCGATTGAATGTAAAAATATCTTTACATCAATTAGTTGCCATGTAAGATGAAAGATGTTGTAAAACCAATTGGTATTAAAATATGACACTTGATTGCAGGAGTGAATTTTTTCATGTAAAAGCATTTTCTAAAAAACATTTTCACACGAACCACACATACCTTTAAAATATGGGCAGGTCACCAGATGTGACACAAAATTATATTTTGGGTAAGTGGTTTTAAGAAATCAAGGTAAGGGATGAAATTACCGAGGCATAGACGAGCCTAAACCATCGAATACTATGGGTGGGTCTACTACTTTTGCATGGGCCCCTAATTTACTCTTCAAAGTTTGAACCAGCCAGGGATTGTATATTATGACTATTTATAATTATTACACGGAGGTCACAATTATTTCTTGTCATTAGATGTCGAAATGGATAGCTTTGGATGCATCATGAAATTCAAATATATATTTTTTGAACTTTTGAGTCTAGTTAATGACATTCTTACGACTACCTAATTTGAAATCCAAAAAGCAAAAGTATAACCTCCTTGTTCTAAAAATAAATATTCTCGTTGTAAACTTTTTCTTATATAATAACAATCAAATTTGTTGTAAATCCTCATCAACAGGGCGATCCTTCTAAGTCCAGATCCGTGTTGCTATTTTTGCAAAAATTTGGCCAAGTCAAACCTTAGACTTGCTGCTTCTCTGACCAACTCAGGTCTGGCACCCTGGGGTGTCTGAGCACAAGTCCACAGTTTACTTTCACCAAATTTGGCCCCATTTGCATGAGTCTGATATTATGTGGTGTAAATCATTCTAACACAATTACACCCGAGTTGATGCGAAGAATACTGGGAAAAAGAAGGTTCTTCATATTTGACTATTTGATGCAATCCCTCAGATAATCTGAGATTGATGGATACGACCCTGCAGATTTCTCATTGAGAACATGCGTTCTCAAGATGTAAGTCATGATCTGATATCAACGATCTAAGTTATCAAAAGTACATGAGGAGGCTAGAAAAGTCGTCAAATATTTTTTGATGTAGTGTAGTGTGGATTTGTAAGATTAGATTTAGAGAGAAGCCAGAAAATTCTCTCTCTCTCTCTCTCTCTCTCTCTCTCTCTCTCTCTCTCTCTCTGCACCACTTCAAAGGTTTCACGCTATTTGTTCAGGAAGAGAGAGACCCCACATTCCTTCCAAGACTCAAAATTGACAAAAGTACCATTCTCTCCAGTGAAGCTCAATCAATCCCAACCAAAAAAACACATCAAGAAATACAGCTCTTCCCCTATACACGGATGTGCCTATTTCCATCACAACCAAAAGCATGTACACCAACCAACCCTTCCATCTCTACAACCTGGGCCTTGCCCTCCTCGCATCGCCTGAGTCACTAAGGGTTAGCCATTGGGTGCCTCTCTTCCTGCTCATTGGGCTCGAGTCCTCATCTGCGACAGCTACCATCTTCAACAGCTCCGACAAAATAGTCGGACACTCTTCTTCTAGGTAACTGAACCCATCCGACTGCATAACAGCTACCAAAACAAAGAAATTAGGCGAAAACACTAATAGCACTATCTACTATATGGAAGTTCTACACTTCCAAACTTATGTATGGCTTCAAACTGAAGCCTTGATTTTTCACCAAACTTGTAAAAAAATTATGGAAGCTGTATACAAGAGCTAATTCGATGACTAGGCCTCTAATGGGTACAATGGGAATCAAAAACCTCTAAGAGTTGCAGCCCCTACACCCTAACCACTAGCTAACCAATGGCTATCACTATGGCCTTGGAAAGGTTTTCAGGATTCTTATATTTTTCACACATTCCTCCTAATGTAATGGCACTTTTGCAAATTTTTCAGAAGCATAAAGTAAATATGCCCACAGTAGTAGAGTTGCATATTGTCCCTACCAATTTAAGAGAGAGAGAGAGAGAGAGTACCTCCTAAATGTGATGGAGCAGCAGCAAACCTAAGACAAACATCCTTCAGTTGCTTGCAGTGGTATCTCTCTGCAAGAGCCAAGGTGGTGGCCACAGAATCAGTGGAGACTTCCTCACATAACCTGGCCTCACACACCAGCTTCAGCCGGTCAAGGCCATAGCGATCAGCTGCAGCTAACAGATGCTGAGCCATGGGCGTCCAAGAATATGTTGAAGACGACTCAGGCAAGTCTGGTAGTGTGTCGGAGTATATAAAATGTAGCATTGCCTGCGAACAAGATGGCAAATGATTGGTAGATGCCCACGTACTAACAAAAGTATGTGCAAGAAAGAGAGGAGAACGGGGTGGGCGGGGAGGAGGGAGCAAGAGAGAGAAACATGAAAAATTTCAAAAAAAGAAGGAAAAGAAGATGAATACATACTACACCGCGAAAAATGCATATCAAGAATGATGGAATAATCAAATAGTGCTCTTTTAACCTCAAACAACTATGCCTATATCATTCATATTTTGGCTAACATGAGCAACAATTTATACTGTAAATTGCCAACTGATGGTTCAGACTCTAACTAGCCGATCTGAAACCGGTCAACCTGCAATTTGGGCAAGGCAACTTCTCAAGTAGGAACTCTCTCAAGAATTTAATAATATGAAAGTGTTAAAAAATATGAAATCAAAGTGGCAACAAGTATTTTAACTATAAAAAAAAAGGAAAATAAACTGGCAGAATGGTCCATAAGAGCAGAACTAAGATGCTGATACTCTGAAACTTTCACCAATGGGAACCAAGGGGTAAGGTGGGTCATATCTTTTGGTGACTTTTTTATCTTAATACATGTTCTAAAAATAAAAGCCAACAATTACACTACTTGATGCCCCCAATGTCCTTGTAAATAATATTTTGGATTCAAATCTCTCTGATGTAGTGTGCTCTACCCAACTAGTAATCCAAACACACATCAACAACTTGAGATTAAATTATCAAATAGGTTCCCACGTGATTTCATAAAGAATTTGTCAGAATGTTAGATTTTTCATACTAGGACCACAGTTATAGTTATCACACTTTTCTGTCTCCCAAGATTAGATCATCACAAAGACTTAGAACTTGACTCCTTCCCTTTCCTATTTCACTTCAACTCTTTGAGTTTGTGACCAACGGAACACCAATCGGATGATACTTCAGATTATCCCATTGTATTTAAGTAGGAGGCTTTCAGAAGACAAGAAGACATTATATTCTGCAAGTATGCTCACAAACCACCTGACTAGTCCCACTCATATGGAATGTCAGGATTTTGTGTAACCATCTGTTGCAACCCTAAGTCCTAAGTTTGAATCCCACCATTGAACTACCCAAAATCAGCCCTTCATTCCCTCAGACAAATGCCCCTTCACCTTTCCTCTAAAACCTCACTTCCCCTAGGGTAGATAATTCTCCAATATGATGTTCCTCCAAATGCCAGTTCCTTCGCATCCAAAGACACTAAGAACCTAGCAAGAATTACCTTGTTAACACTTTTACTTTATATGCATACCCTCCAGACTAGACAAATTCATTCCAAATAACAAAATGAGCTTCCACCAGCCATTCCCACTCCCCAATTTCAGGGAGAGCAAATTCAATTTCCCAAACCTGCTGCTAAGGGCAACAATCATTCAAAAGAGGGAAATACTAAAATGCACGAATAGATGTTTCCTCAAGATGAGTAACCTCCCATTGAAGGACAAGTATCTTGGCTTTCTATCTATTCCTCAGGATTTTCCACTAGTAAGGGGAGATGCCAAGTACGAGATCTGATGATAGAGACTGAAAAACCACCAACTACACTAGAGAGAATATATTGGGCTTTCTTCACTCTAAACCTTTCAAAAGGTTTGTAAAGGAAGATCAGGGAGGCAGCCAATCATAGTTTTCATCAAGTTAAATCTCTTTTTAATCGACTCCCAATTTTTTTCCTTCGTATTGTGACAAAAAAATTTACTTTTTTTAGATTTTTAATTTTTAAATTAATTTCTAAATTTGAACTAAGATTCATGAAGGCTCTAAAACAATATGGATTATCCTTAAATTTCCAACTCAGTCCTCGTATTTTTATATTGATACTAATAATAGATAGACGTCAGTGTCACACATTAAGGATGTTAATTCACAGGGTGCGGCACTCCATTGTGCTCAGTGTGGGGTGGGGGACCCTTCCCAAATAGTATGTGAAGCACCCTTAATTAGCAGCATTTTGCAGGTCTATGCTATTGTGAAAGGGTGTTGAAAGAGATCGGCACATTGTGGAGAAATGACCGCCAACACATTGTCACCCATTCACTTAAAATTTGAGAATTTACCACTTCCCAAATGAAGCCCAAATTTTTTATAATAACTTTTAAAAATATTAAAAGTGTGTGTGTGTGTGTGTGTGCACATGCGTCAACCTTACATCACAGAAGTAAGGCGCACCTCAAAAACCCGTAGGAAAACGTTGTTCGGACGTTGGAAAACCCTCCAATTGATCATCTCAACCTCGATGTACATGGCTATACATAAAAGAGATTTATAAGCCTAAAAATAATGTGTCTTGTAACACATTATCCGGAGTGTCCATTTTCAAGATTCTCAAGTGTTTATAGATATGCTCGATCTGGATCATTTTTGGAGCTTTAAATTCATAAGAGCGGATATATATTTTCATGCCATCATGGGGTGGAGGTGCGCCTTACTTTTATTGCTTAAAGTTCACGCCTTGTATGTGTGTGTGTATATATATTTGTGTGTGTGTATGTATATATGTATGGCTGTATGTGTGTGTTTGGGTGTGTCTATATATATATATATATACATATAGAGAGAGAGAGAGAGAGAGGGAGGAAAATATTTAGGTTAGCCACTAGGCTAATACTATAAAAAAAGGCCCCTCCTCACTTTTTGATGTTAAGAATATTCATTTAACCCAAATTTTTCAACGTATATCCTCTTGACCCTAGCGAATACCCCAATGAAAAAAAAAAAAAAGGTTCTTTGAAGAAAGAGAAAAAGTGGTTTCACCGTTGGATCTTGTTTTTTAAACCATCCCCAAAGTTTGAGGGTCTAATAAACAATGTTTGGACCCAGTTATTCAGGGTGGTACTCTGAGGTATGCCCAAAACATGGGCTGATCTATATTACCCATGTGTGTGTGTGTGTGAATACATGTGTGCATGAGTTTGTGTGTGTGCGAAAGGAAGACTTTCAGGCTAGTTTCCTTTCAAGTTCATCATTGTTTCCATCAATAGTAGTACTAATTTAATCTCTAGGCACGTACTCAATAAATGAAAGGGCACTGCAACCCGGTGTTGGTCCAGCCTAAGCAGGGTCCCTCAGCTGGAAACAGTCCTAACCTTAGGCTTATGTACAAAGTGGCCGCTCTCAAGACTCGAACCCGCACTCTTGCGCTGGCTACCCGAGCCTTTTACCGTCACACCAAGTGACGGCCCCTTTATACTCAATAAGCAAAGAAAATGAGGTAATTTTTAATGTAAAGATTGAGAAAGGAATGGCATCAGATTCAATAAAAGCATCAAAAGAAGAAAAGAGAAACAAGAGCAGTACCTTGAAAACAGCAGGTTCTATGCCCTCAATCTCTATCTTATCAATGTTGGGATCTCCAACCAAACCAAAGAACTGGGCTTTGAAAACTGGTGAGCGGGTAGCGAGTACCAGTTTATGAGCTTTAAATGTCTCCCCACAAACTTCAAAGACTACATCAGAAGCACTGCCCGTATCCAGCAACTCCTTGAAGCACTGACCCATGTCGCTTGGTGGAACATAGATACTATACTGCATTATTCCTTCAAAACGATTTCTCACGACTCCAACAGTGCAGCGCATGGCCAAGCAGTCATCCTTGAGGTAATCCGAGGCTTCAAGGGCTGACCTTCTAAAGAAACGCTTGTAACCCCTGAGAGAAACATGGAGAGAACAATATCAACATATAAGAAATCATCAATTTCCATATATTGTGAAACTTTAGGGTTTATGAATAGTTCAACCTTCAGTTGGAGAAGAAATCGAGATAGTCAACATTTCCATATAAAATTACTTATAACCGACCAAAATACTGTCAATTTATTCTTTATGAGAACAATATTTTTTTTTAAATGAAGAAAAAGAAAATTTTATATTTTCATCTAAATTTCATATTCGAGAGTCAAAAAAGTAAAGAGTGTTCCAAAAAATGCTGGGCGGCACCTAGGCGGTCGGGGGTTCTAGGCTACCTTGTGCCTAGGCAGCCTAGGTTCAAAACAATATTATCAAATTCGCTTTGCTTCGGCCAAAGAGGCCGAAGCCTTTAGAATTTAAGCATAAATCGAAACGAAGAGAAGCGTGGTGTTGTTGTTTCGGTCAAGTTCGGACTGCTTCGGGCTGCTTCGGGTCTGCTTCGGCCGAAGCTTCAAGCTGCTCCGGTCAGAAAAGAAATACCTATATAAAATAATTTTTTTCCCATTATTTTTATATATTTTATATATAAATATCTAATTTATTTATGTTAAATTTTTTTAAAAAAAAGGTCTGAAATCTTCCCCCGAATTGGCCAAGGCACTGAATTGCTCCATTTTTTGCACTAAATCGAAGACGACTCCAAAGCGAATCTGACAAAATTGGTTCAAAAAGGGGCAAATGGTGTCCAGTAACCCTATTAGGTACATATTTTGTACAAAAAAAATGCATATTCATGTATTTTTTATAATCCAAAAAAAAAATAAAAAATACCCCACCTAAAGGGTATTTTTTCACTTAGTCAGGCAGCACAATCCCTGGGCACCCGCCCAAGTACCCTAAGCACCCGCCTATGCGGGTACTAGGCGAGCGCTTAGGGTCCCTAGGCAGGCACCCAGATACAGCTCGCATAGTTGGTCCGCCCCCAGGCCTAAACGGTGCGCCCAAGGCCCCCATCCCGCCTAGGCGGCCGCCTATCATCATTTAATAAATTATACATCAAAAAGGCATGACTTCCTAATCGTAGTTGAATTCAATACAATTTCAGTGTGAGCTTTCATGATTTCAACTAACATTGAGGGTTTTACAATCCCAACTCATGGATGTTAAAGGATTACACCTTCAGTCTGGGTATTTTAACATATTGAAACTTGCAAGTAGACCACACTAGATGTGGATGCTATTGCCTACACAAAGGTAAATCAAATGATATTGTTACTAGGTGCTATGTAGTTGAACCTTAATTCCAAAGCAATGACTGGGTGTTAAGGTGGTTTAGAAGCTTGCTACTTCAAGACTGTTTTCAATGAAGTCATTTTACCATATCGTAAAGGGTTTGGTTCCACATTTCCTACCAAATAAAGTCTGACTAGTGGTACTTGGTTCCTTTGGATCTGGAGTCTGAAACTGGATCGGTAAGGTCAGGGGAGAGGTCAAACAAGTAGGTTTTCCAGTGTGCATGGTAAGAAAGTCAATTTTTCATAGAGAGAGAGAGAGAGAGGATGTAGTGTGACATAGGGGTCACATCTCAACTATTTCTTGCCGTTGGATTGGATTCATGTGGCCCTACATCACACTCTCTGAATGATTTGAGTTAACTATAGACATGGTAGTACGGCGACCTAAGTTAAGGAATGATCTATGGGATCGTGAGATCAAGGAGTTCAGTTGTTTCATAGGTAAGTTCAATTAAGAGCTTTATCCTAAGTGATGGGATTGAAATGAGGATCCTGCTTTGAGACATAGTAGGTGCTCTTTCTATATTACGTCTTCCTATACATGGTACATAGATATTTCTATTTGGGTGTCATACCAGCATTAGACATGTATTGACACACACGCAAATTCGAATCCTTATGGTTTCTTCTACTTGTCTATTAACAATTTATTGCATCAATTTAGAGTCTTAATCTTTGTTTTTTTTTTAGTAAAAGCATGTGAACTTTGAAATGCGTATAGAATTATACAGTGATTTAAAAAGCTGACCTCCCAGTGCCTGGGCAGCCGCCTAGGAGGGCGCCCGAGGCCTGCGCCCTGCCCAGGAGAGGAAATGCCACTCATTGAGGCCATTTTTTAGTCTTTTTTTAATACTAAAGGGCTAAAATTGTGGGTTTTAGGTTCATTTGAAACCTAAAACCCATTAAAGCCTATTTTAGAGAGAAAAAAACCCCAAAAAACTAGTTTTTGGTGATTTCCATAGGATTGAAGGGTTTCTCAAAGTTACGAGAAATTGATCTAAGCATCACCCATTGATATTAGCTTTAATTTTTTATATTTTATAAATTTATTCAGGGGTTTTTTAGAAGATTTTGAATCCTTAGAAATTGGGCTGCTCAGGTTCTGGACGCCAGCCTAGGCGTTGGGTGGCCTCCCCCCCCCCCCCCCCCCTCAGCTGCTTAGGCGTCGGGCGGACTGGCCCCCCTGGCCTCCTAGGGGCCACCTAGCGCCTTTTGAAACACTGGAATTATAAAATAATCTACAAGTTCAGCCCATTAAAGTATAACTCATTATTTCTGGCTACATATCATGAAATAAAATATTAGTAAAACATTGTTCGATTTAGTTGTCTCTACACAATATAGACGTGCCACTAAATCCTCTTCTTGATGGCATGACAAATGCAACGCCCTGTACCTATATTAGATACTAACACGCATAGTAGTATCCATGCAACATAGCCTCCCTCGATCCCCTGCTAGGTAAGTTCCCCTTGTTCCCTTCATCACATTGTTTGGCTCCTATTTGGCTTTCTCCTTCTAAATGCATCCTCCAAAGGATGATGAAACAGTGGATCATATGCTTACTCACATTAATTTGTCTCGTTGATATGAGTTTTCTTCTTGAATCTATCTAGTATTTCCTGAGTGTGTAATGTCTCTAGTCTGGGAATGGTTTTCAGGCCCTTTCCTTACTATAGGAAAAATCCTTTGGAAGCTTTACTCGTCAAAAATATTTTTGGATGTTTTAACATTGTAAATATAAGAGGAGCTTTAAAGGCATTCATGCAAATGAAGCAATTTCAAGAGAGAATATTATGTCATATATGATTTCACCAGCACTGGTTAGGTTAATTTTCAAGGCAATCATACATAGCGAGCTTTGGAATATTCCAAACCATTGTTGAGGTGCAGTAAGCTGCTAATAAGGTTTGTGAAGCTGAACTTTGTAAGTAGCCCCATGATAGTTTCTCTACCCTTGTTCTTTACTTTTCACTTTCTCTTAAATCTTAGGTCCTTTTCTTAATCAGTAACCTTTGTTCTTTTTATTTTTATCTGTTTTGTGGGGTTGGTAGGAGGGGAGAGGAAGGGGAAGGATGTATGTTTTTCCTTTTATTTTTTTGATAAATAACATTTCATTATTTCATTGAAACAAGGTTGAACATGTGGAGGGGTTGATGGGTTCAACTTTGAAACACCCAATGACTTGCTCAATGTGGTTAGATGGACATGTACTGAACCCTCTCCAATTTAGAGGTTTGCTGAAATCGACAAGGACAATCATCATCATCGTCAAAGCCTTTTCCCAACTAATTGGGGTCGGCGACAGGAATCCTGGTCTGTCATTCTGCTCAATTAAAGGTCTCTGTGAGGCTATAAGTCCCCATATCTTTTCTCACTACTTCCAACCATGTCCTTTTCGGCCTACCCCTTACCCTTTTTTAGCCTTCCACTTGAAGTAACTCACCAGGTGTTGTACTGGGTTTGTACCACACATGGCCAGCCCACCTAAGTCTGCTCTCTTTCATCTTATTGCTTATTGGTGTCACAACTAAATTTTTCCGAATGTATTCATTTCGAATTCTATCCCTTCTTGTCTTGCCACTCATCCATCTCAACATCATCATCTACGCTACACTCATTCTATGGGTATATTGTTGAAATCCACCCACAAGGACAACAATAAAGTACATTAATGACAATCTATAGTAGCATTATCCCACTTGCTTAAAAGGCTAAACTTGAGCCCTACCTCCCAACCCAAGTTCACGAAGAAGTGAGTCGATTTAAATTGTCCTTGAAATGCCTATTCCCTTCCCTTATCACAAGCCACTCGTCATGACTTTCTTCTCTTGGGAAATTCATCATGAATCCTTTTCACTCCTTTTCTTAAAACTTCTATTTTCTTTTCTTTTTACAAAAAGCTGCAGAAACTTCTATTCAAGGAATTCTAAAACTGCTTGATAAAAACTCACATGTTATGAATATCCTCTAAAAAGAATGAGTCAACATACCATAGACAAACAATTAAAAAAAAAAAATGGAAAAATCCAATAAATCTTGCAAATGCTATATAATTAAACAAGAAAATTCAAGAACGTACCACATGCTCCCTCTGTACTTCAAGGTATACGGCCCACTAGCAAGAGATCGATCAAAATGACTATGAACTTTATGCTTCCCTTTCCCACTCTGATCCAGCAATGTAAGCTCAAAAAGCGCACGCACATCTGTACCTTCACTAGCAAGTGCAATAAAAACCGACACATAGAGGGAGCTATCTTCAGGGTTTTTACCATCTGGATAGAAATATATGGCCCATTCGTAACCACCGACATTGAAAGTATCACTCGCTAGGTATTTACCCACACCCATTCCCTTTGCAAGAGAATAACCCTTTATCTTATAGTCATGGGAACCATTCACTGTATCATGAATAGACCTAGAATGTGTATCTGGCTGATTCTTTAAATTCATTCGTGCCTTCTTGTTGCCATCGAATGATAATTTAGCCATGTATCATGCTCTAAAACGCTCAAAGACAGAGGTATCAATCTGCTCTCGAAACAAGGAAGCACTCCAAGAATGATATATCAGTTTCGCTCACTAATCTCTTCCTTTTAGTTTCGACAAAAAGGGTATCAGTTACTCACACTAAAACTGGGTCGTTTCACAAATCTCGATTCGAACTTGAAATTGATGCTCTAAATTAAGTGCAGAGTTCAATATCTGGCTAACCTGAGTTACATCAATTCAAGAATGCAAACCGCCAAAACAATTGAAGGAGCAGAAATGAAACCCGTTTCTTTGACCAATCTTTGTATTCATATATGAATGCACAAGCACAAAGAGATCACAAATTCCGATACTGAGAAATGAACCGATATTCAAACCCTAATCAGAGCCCTGGGTCCGTCAATTCAAAAACTCAAACATTAATATCTCTGAAACCCCAGTTCTCAACCTAAATCTCGCATTGGCTAATATTAATTTGATCAAACTCAATCTAACAACTCTCATAGACCAGAAAAACTGAAACCCCAACCCCTCGTTGTAGATTTTTCAAGAACCAGCTAGATCAGGGTTGGCTCCAAAGATTCATGGAATCTATTTCGTAACCCTAAATGCGATAAGATTAGGGTTTCAGGCTTGTGCGTACCTAATCGAATGGAGCCGGAAAGCTGCAGAGGTGCCCGGGAAAAATGGATTTCCCGGCGAGATTCGTTTCGAGTGGTCTTCGCGAGAGAAGGATTTTGTTTCGCTTAGATGATTTGTTCGTTTGAGAAAAAAAAAAAAATTTACATGAAATAAGAGTTCGCGACGTTTCTCTTAAATAATGATGACTGGTTGCTCTCCAAAGTCCAAACTTTGAGAGAGAGATTAGGAGAGAGATTAAAGGTAATTGAAATAGAGAGATTAACGGTAATTGAAAGAGGAAATTAAAGATAATTGAAAGAGAGAAATTAAAGGCAATTGAGAAAGAAATTGGAGGCAATTGGGTCATTCATTACCTTGCTGCCTAGGGCACGTTTGGTATGTATGTAAAAATTTACTCATGGAACACTACATATAAATATTTCAAAGAGTTTTGCAAACCTGCTTTTTGCCTTTTGGTAAACACTTCTGAAAGATTGTGTAAATCCTTTCATATATTTGATACTTTGATTTGTAAATTATATTATGGAAACCTTGAATAGTACTTGTTTAAAATAATTTATTTGTGTATGCTATTTATTTCGTCAAATCTATATTCTTTTTTTGAATGGTAACGTACGGCTTATCATTAATTCATATGTAAAATACAGGATGTTTAAGCAAAGACAATATTACAGAAATGAAGCAACCAATAAGAGGGAACATGGACCGGCAATGACATCAGCATCTTCATTCGCATCTCTATAACAATGCTGGAATGTTGTCATAGAGGTTGACAAAATATCCCTCTCACTCCCTCTCTCATATTCACTCTCTCAAACGGAAAAAGAAATTGAAATTATATCATTTTTAACATTGCTCTCACTCTCTACCCCCACCCCTCCTCTATCTCTTTCTCAAATCCCTCTAAATCGAAATAGCGCAATTTAATATGAAAGTTTATTATATTATGTTTCAAAAAGATTTAAATTACCTCATTATTTCAAATGCTCCCTTGTTGGGTAGATCAATAGGGATCTGTCTTTGACTCAAGTATCCCAAATTCCTTTTCTCTATTCCTGTATTAAATAAAATAAAAGCCAAATAAAGCATGACCATCGCAACATATATCACTACATGCTTACCAAAATATGCAGCATAATATTCATCCATAACTAGTACTATAATAATATGGGTGCGGTTTGTGTAGAGTCTAGGCTCTAAACAATCAAATTCAAGCATACCTTCAAATGTGTCGAGAATTGCGGTTTTAATACTGAAAATCTTTGTGATAGCCTTCAAATATATTTTCATCTTTATTTATAAAGTTTAAAGCTTAAAAAATAATGTAGATCGACATATCTATGAAAACTTGAAAATCTTGAAAATTGACGGTCCAAAAACGTATTACAAAATATACTATTTCCAAAACTTGAAATCCATTTTTTTCTCATGTGCATGCATATTGATGTCGAGATGATCAATTTTTAGGATATTTGAGCATCAAAACAACATCTTCTAGTGAAAGTTTTGAGGTAGGCTCAAATTTGATTATTTAGAGCCTCGGCTCTACATAAACTTTTCCCTAATAATATTTACTTTAGCCCTTGACAAAGTTTCAAATATCCAATTCCAACTACTTTTTCGAAAGATAAAAGAGGAGCTAGTTTCTTCCTAATGTATCAGGGAAATATGTTTAAGAGGTTTCATATCATGATAATAAAAAGGGTTTTCACATATATATTGGGTACATGAGGAGTTTCAGGCACTTACATCTTGTATAATTTACATTAAACCCCTATACGAGGTCGAACACCATTTGATTTGGGCCTTGAAGCTTATATATTCACAGTTCTAAAAGGAAAAATATACATATTAATAGGGAACATCTCCGGAACCAGCATCGTCTCCGGGCCTAAGGCTTGGCCTCAAGTACATTTCCATTTTACTTTCATTTCATTTTCGTTTCTATTTCCAAATCTCTTTGAAATCTCCCCTTTTTCTGACCTCGAATTCCAAACTTCTACCCGGACCATACCAAGAGTTGGTTCTACCAGCCATTCGAGCGAAAGAGGGTCCAATGGCTCGACTTTTGCCCGAATCGCAATTTGACGAGACCCATCTATCTACCAATCCCTTTCAACGAGTTTACGCCCGAAAACAAGGCAATGACCGCTTAATCCCTGCCCAAATTTTGGAGTATAACTCATTTTTTCCTTCAATTCTCCTAATACCTTTCTTGAAGAAAATTTGTGAGTTTAGAATTCTATATTATCTCTCACACCATTTCATTATGAATATATCTTTAATAAATTTAAAAAAACTAATGAAACTCCAACAAATTCCTATATTCTCTCTCTCAAAAGTGTCATAAAAGTAGGATTCCCATGTCGAGTCTTCCCTAAAAGTTTAAATCTCTTATTTGGGATTGGCATATGAAACAAATAAAATCCAACTTCAAAGGTACAGCTTGTATAAGGTGCTATCCTTACGGTATAGAAGTAAAACGTTCTTTAAAATTTTGTCTAGAGATTTATTTTCACTGTTGCAAACTTTATCATGGCTTGAAAATCTATTTTCTAGATTTAGTTATGAAATTTAAAATTCTAAAAATGGTAAAAATCAAGCAGGTCTATAAACATTTGAAAATCTTGATAATAGACAATCCAGATGATTTGTTACAAGGATGTACTATTTTAGTATTTGAAGTTCATTTTTTTTCTTCATACCCATACATCTTGAAGTTGAGATGATCAAATTAGAAAGTTTTCCAACATAAGAATACTCTCTTCTAGGGGATTTTTTATGTGCACTTTACCTCATAAAAATTATGATTTCCTATCAGTGATTTGACATTCTGTGAAAGTTTTGAATCTCTCTCAACTTTTGGGCTAGAAAATTTAGCAGTTGGTAGGAATTGTGGACGGAGATAAATTTCTCGAATGTACTTAGTGATAGCTATATAAATTCTAAAACTTATTCTCCTACAAAGAGATTTTAGGAAAATTGAAGGAAAGAATGAGTTGTGGGGAGAAATTGTAAATTTTATTCATTTATATATTTTTGATTTAATTTTATTTTGACTAATTTTTACCAATAGAAAGCACTAGAATACTTCGACTTTTTCATGAATTATCTATTGGAACATCAATTATGATACCTATTAATATTTTAAAATATAAATATTTAAAAATTAACAGAGGCTTAAGATAAGATATTAATAGTCTAGGAAACAATGACATGTTAAATTTTACTTTTGCTGTACCAAAAAGTTAGGAATTAGTTGGAGTTAGAGAAAGAACTAGGAATTATTTGGATTTAGAGACAAAGATTAATTTATTGAGTATACTCAGAGATAAATACTATAATTCTAAACTTGGTCTCCTTGAGAGATTGTACGATTATTGCTTACTCTCTTAGAGATCTTTTGGGTGTGTTTGACAATTGGAAATTGTAAATTAGGGAAGTTTTTTAGTCTGAAAGCTAGAAAATTGTATATGGATATGGAAAATACCGTGTTTAATAACTTGTTTAGAATTTTAACAGACTATGGAAACCTTTGTTTGATAAACCTATAAGTTTCCAAAAACCTAGAGATTGGGAAATGAGTAATTTTTTGGCGCATATCTTCCATTTTATTTTATTTTTATACATCATAATGAGATAGCAGTTTGATTACCTAACTTCTCACCAACACAATTGTAAAAAAATATATGAAATAAAAAATATATGAAAAATAATTCAAAAATAAAATAACCAAAACACCCCTAAAATTTTAGGGGCATTCTATTATTATTTTTATTTAATAAATTGTGGTTTTATGTTTTATATAAACGCGCCCTGAAGAGGCAAAGTCACCTTCAAACTTTCATATTAGCATGATTTAAAAAGGTAAAAAAAATTAAGAAAGTGAAAGAAGGGGAGAGTTAATATGAGAAGTGAGTACTTCTCATTCAGTGAGAAGCTTGCATTTCTAGGGGGAATGGAAGTGTGCACTTCTCATTTTTGACAATGTCATTTTGAGAGGCTATCAAAACTTCCAATTGGTAACATGCGGAAACTCGATGAGAACCAAGAGTATGCAAACAAGTTGTTAGAAGTCAAACACCTAATCTACCTTAGTAATGCCTATAATGCCTTGTTCATTTGATGATATATCATTTTTATATTTGCATTATTTATTTTCGCTATAATGACTCCTTAACAAATACTTTTTAAGTTATAAAAAAAAAAGAAAAAAGAGAGAAAGTGGGGATAAGGATCGAGTTTAAAAAAATTATGCAGGCTTTAACATTCACATTTGCATTATATTCCTAAAAAGATGCAGTTTCTATAAGGCCTAGGCTTTATATAAACAAAGTGGGCATTGGAAATCTCTATGATGGCTTTAAAATCAATTTCCAATACTATAAAATTTGAAGCTCAAAATGGTTCAAATCTTGTGGATTCTTGAGTACTTATGTTTAGGGTGAAACAAATTGTCTATATAATGTATTATAATATAAATTATTTTTAGGGCTTGAAATCCCAATTTTTCTTCACAACTATAACGCTCGAGGCCAAGATGATCCATTTGAAGGTTTTATGAGGTAAGAACTGTAACTTCAGATAGTTTTTTAGGTGTGGCTTTACTAGATAGGCTTGTAGCCTATCAAAACATTTTCCTTTCTAAAATTAGTTCTTAATAATATTATGCACTTATAATTAGGCATCATGTACCAATATAATAACACATACTCGCTATGAGGGTGTACCATTTGGTGAAAGTAACAACCCAACAGAAATCCACATTGTCACTTTTAGAAACTGCATCGAGTATCAACTAATCAATACGATTCACTTTTATAAAAGAATAGCGAGTATAGCATACTCCCCGATAAGCATATTGTACAAGACCTCCCTTGGGCAAAATATACTTAAGATTTTATTTATTTTTGACCTTAAGTTTTAGGATCTATCTAAGTATCACTTTATTATTATCTTCAAGGATTTTGAGTTATTGAACATTTAGATATTTCCCTTTAAATATTGGACGGTTCTTAGTCAATCTTGGGACATTACTTTATTTGGATGCATAGAGTGCAATTTCTTTTTTTGCCTTTGAGGTTGGTCTGTGGTTTTTGAATATTGCATTCCCAAAAATTATTCCTCGCTTCAGTTTAACCCGAGGGAGCAAATGGGTAGTACGCTCTTGCAAGAGCTTGAAACTTTTTCACATATAATTATTAGGTAAATTATGAAATATATCCCTACTGTGCCCTTTATTTTGTGCTTACACCTCTGCCCGTTTTTTAGTGAATTTTGCATAAATGGCACTTTTACCCCGCCATGGATCTATTACATCCATGCCGCTCTTTAAACAAACCCTCGCCCCTCTTCCTCTCAAGAACTGCCATCA